GAGCATGTCGGAAGAGCTCGTACAATGTAGCAGCCAGGTGCCTTTACTTGAAGTGTTCTCCAAGATTTTTGTGCTTTTCTTCTTCCATGCAGAGTCGGTAGCGACTATAGGTTTGTAATTGAACACCACTACCTACAATAGCAATTGCGGGGATTGTCCTTGATGAAAGAAAATGATTTCGTAGTTTCAGATGCATCGAGTGCTCTGTATCTGATCTGCATATTCTTATTTGAATACTAATGTCGATACTGTCAAAAAGGCTATTCTCGTCCCAAGAAACTAAGGCGGACCTTCAGCGAATAAAACCCTTTAGACCCATTGAGGTGTTCTCGGTTAAGTTTTGCTGCAACATGAAAATGAGTGGCCAGGGGGCTTCAGCTCATCAATTTGGTGCTCGGAGGGCCCTTACGGTCTTGAAATTTGGGGAACAGGACGGGGATGAGGCGCAGCGGGGCACATCATGTGAATGCGGAAAATGTCAGCTCCTTAGCCAGTCAAATTCCGTCCCAAGTACATCCCTCTTTTCATTACTCACGGAAGCCCAATCTGCCTAACTTTTCATATCATGTTTCAATTTTTTGCGCTCGAGAGGGAGGTAAATACTGAATATGACAGCAGAAAAAAAAGCCAAAAAATGCCTAGGATCCCTGCAAAAATTCTAAGGACGGTTCCAACTCCGAACACTTAAACACGTCTCTCTCTCTAGATAGTAGATACGACCAGTGATCTGCACTGCACAGTAGCGACGTGCAGTGAACCCCGACACGAGCCATGTGCAGTAGCTCCGCACAATGCCTTGATCATCGCGGAAACAAAACCGGAAATCTTTGCGATTTCCAAAGTTGGCGCAAAAGTGGTATGGGACCGCAACCCTTTGCAGGCAGTCGCCTTGTGACCATAGCTTCGTTTTGCATCTACCCACTGTTGATACTAACTATGCAAAAAGCATGCATATGAACAAAAAAATAGTAGAAAGCGCAAAAATGCAATGTTAAAATCGAATAAGCAGAAAAAGAACTCACAAGTTTCAAGTGAAAACCAACCATTTTCAATTGACTCGGTAATTTTAAGCGGACCACGCAGGATGTATACAAGAACAATGACGAGAAGAAACCAAAGGGCCCACAAATATGTCCAGGACCACGTCAGCCAACTTTTTACTCTACTCAAAACCATCTAAAATCTAAACTAGATGGCTTGACACCTGTGGAGAGTGCGTGTTGAAATCGCACTTTACACCCGTCAATAACAAAAACAATCGATTACAATTATGTTGGACAACACACAGTTCATGCACGAGTTGGCGCTGAACGACGACATGTCGTGTGTCGTCCGCAATGCGCGGAAAACGCTTAACTTCACGTTTCTTAGCATAGACGTGAGATTAAATGCCTACGTACTCCCCGATTGCACGTTTCTTTCGATCAATATTCATCCCCGTCACAAGGTCTGCTTGCGGGGCTTCTCTAACCATTTCTGTGGTTAGCGAACCCACTTTTTTTCAAGTTATTGCGCACATTGACTATCCTGAATCCTGACAGCCGCAGTGGCAGAGCAGCGCTGCTCTCCTCCCTGCAGCGGTCTTCCTTTTTGGGGAAGGGATGCAGAAGAAGGCCGAGCGGTACCCCCCCCCCCCAGCTACGTTACACGATTTAAGTGTCCTGATTCGAAAGGATGCAAAAGCGGGCGCAGTGGTCCCCCCCCCCCTCCCCACAACGATACCACTTGGTTTAGTGCACGGCACAACACGGTGACTCTGCATTTTCTCTCTTAATATGAGCTATCACAAAGCTAGCTAGGAGGACGGTGGCGGGGGGGGGCTGGTGAATTAAGATTTTTTGAGCTGTTTTGCGTCGCTGAGAACAGATATGCCACACACCCTAAACACTAGGGGGATTAAGCCTCCAAGGTAAACTGAACCGATCTCGGGTCAGCCAAAAGGGACTTCGCTGAAGGTAGCCAATTATATTGTACGAGATCCTTGCGAATGGAACCTCCCAAGTCGACTTGCCTCCAATTAGTACCTGACGATTAACGAACAGATAAGTATCCTTCCTGTAGAAAGCGGCTTCGCCGTATGTTAGCTCAATAAAGAGTTCTACAAATCCACCATCCAAGCCGACTTGCCGCATTTCACTGTTGACCTTTCCGCGACATTTCGACGAGATTTTTCTCCTCCTATATAAGCACAGTGAAGCCACTCCTCAGTTTAAATGAGGCCTGATGAGGAAAAATGCCCTCCTTACTCTTATCCCATGACATTCGGAAGGCCAAAACGCACCAGCGAAAGTGCAAAAGTAGCCTCGTGCTCCATTGCACGAAAAACGACCCTAAAGTGCACGCAACACGATTCTCGATTTCGCAACATATCGATCGGAGGCGCGATGACGGCAATCGATATGTATTCAAGGCGTGGGCGGTGCGTTCGCTCGTGCGCCCTTTTGATGGACGAGATTGCGTTGGCGGACGTTTTTCGGACATCTGCCATTCGATTTCGTAATTGCCGCGTGTTTTTGTGTCTGCACCCTCCGCTCGACTCGTTTTCACTCGTTCTCTGTTTCTCGCTGGCCCTACATGGACGCAGTTTTTATTTTGACAGTTCTCCCACGGGTGGTATTCTATAGAGCTTGGAGCGGTCATTGTCTTTCTGCGGTGGTTTTCTAAAATGTCTCATCTGCCCGACGGACCCTTCAAAGTCATTTTTCTGTTTCTTTTCTAATTCTGCTCCTTTTTATAATTGGTCCAATATAGTGAAGCTGAAATAAGATCGCTCTTTGTTGTGTTTCAGCTGGTTTGGGTCCTACAAGCATACCAATTATAGAAACGGTCCAAGTTTTGAATTGATCGTCATTTTCAGGCTTACGGTCCCACATTTTAATCCGAAAAAATCCGCTGCTGGGCGCGAAGCTTAGAGAGTTTAAAACTCTATCGATACCCTCCAGTTTGCTCCTTTTTTGTCGGAGAAGGGCTTGTCCGCTTCAGTCTTTCCTACGGCTGAAAATAAACCCCCTCCGCTTTTTTGAGACACATCTGAATCTAGCTAGCTTTCTCTGAACCTGCTCTTGGAGCATATCTTTCTTATCTTGTTTTTATTGTACCTTAATAAGACCCGAGAATGCATCTGAATCAAGACCCGTTCCACTGGGATTCCCAGCAAAGTGGGGATGGGTCGTATTTGCCTTGGAGAAAAAAGTATTTGATTCCTGATTTTTCCCGTTTCATGACGCCCCCCCCCGCCTCACCCGACAGCAGTTTTTTGGTTAAAACTGCAGAAAATGGTAGGAAGTTTAAATAATCGGCAAATTCAGGTAGTTGGTTGGTAGTATGGGACATCGGAGATGGGTAGGTACGACGGGATATGCGGAAGGGGGATCGCACCACAGAGAGAATTTTGAGAAGGATCGTACTTTGCTGAATTTTCCCTCGACGGCAGAACGTGCTGTGGACTAAATTACCCCTTTTTATCAAAGATGCAGTACCATTCACGAATCTGCGACTCAACCAACAGCTTTTCAAACAGTTGGTTTTGCCCGGAATTATTTGGGAAATTTGAGCGATTTCTGCTAGAATCATTCCGGATTAGGCCCAAGGATCATTAATTTCTAAAAACTTTTCATGTTTTAGATTTTTCAGCACACTAGTTGGGCGCATTTCAGCGACAGGGGGAGGGTATTTTGCATTTGCTGTTATATTGGTTTCGGTTTACAAGTCTCATGTGGTGAAACCTGAAAACTTTTGTAAAACCGGAACAAGCTCGTCGCCCACCATGGTAAATGGTATTTGTGTGGTATTTCATGACTTTTCCCAGGTTTCCACTTGATGGCTCGCCACATCGATGGGAGGAAGCAAAAGCGCAAAATGTCCCCCCCCCTCGCCGAACTGCGCCCACTTGTTGTTTTCCCAGATTTTTCATGTCTTGTTATCCTCTGATTTCTTATTCATTTTCCAACTTCTACACGAACAGGCTTTAAATGGGAGTTTCGAATCTTTTGAAGGTCATATGTAAGGGCTTATTTGTTTCTGCAAGAGCTCGTAGTGTAATATGGACTGCGAGGGCATGAAAGCAGACACCATCTTTCGGATTTGCGAACGTTTCAGTACGGGGCGAAACATTCGTCAGGGCTAGAGATTTCCAGTCGCTGGAGAGGATTTTCAATAATAAGTCCCTGGCACGAATTTCCTCCTGTTGCACGACCCTCCCCTTCCCCAAGCTATTTACCATCTTCCTAATTTTTCCCAACTTCCTACCACTTTTTCCGAAATGGGAGGGTGGTCGGAAGTCGCAACCGAACAATTGCTCAGTTCAACTATCGCGTGGGGATTTTCTGGAATCGAATACGATCCCCTTCCTCCAGTGACTGACTAGGGAAGGATGGTGGGTCGAAGTGGCCATTTGAAATGAGATGTATCCAGACGGAAAGGTCTTTGAACGGGGATTACGGAACCGGCTTCTAGTAGACCTCCCAGAGCAAAGTTACGGGGTCTTATTGGAGGAGCACATAGGTATTCAGCACGAATTAGTGGCGTAAGGTGATCTCGCTCAAAGCAGCCAAGTGGATACGTCATAGGTTCCAGGAACACGTAGATGAGGGTTTGGATCCTTGGTGCGTGTGGTCTTTTGCATTTTCTCGACAGCGGTCTCTGGGCAGTCGAAAGCATTTCCACATAACTCGTAAGCTTGATAATGTCGTCAAGGTTTTGAACTAATAGATTCATTGTGGACGATTCCATGGAGAACATTATTGGCTGATGAAGTTGCCACACGAGCCGAAGACTTTCACCAGGTGCGAAAGCACCACTTCAGACAGAACTGCTTCTCAGCACTTGTGCGTGATGGAAGAAGGTTCTGTCCATAATGATTTTGGCAGGATTGTCACGTCAAATCCAGTCTTGGGGAAAACTTTCCACGTAGTTCATCTACGCGCACAACTTCATGCTATTTGGGTCCAGCCATGTCGTTTGGAGAATAGAGCCATTCTTCACGGTACGCTCACTCATTGGGTGCATTCTTCTAGTAAAAAAATAAGCTCCTTGAAGCAATAAAAGGAGAAATCAACAACCAAAAATGTTCTTCCATGGAATCGTCCACAATGGCTCCATCAGTTCAGAAACATTACACGACATTATCAGGCACAAGAGTTATGCAAAATCGCTTTGAAGTGCACAGGGACCACTTTCGAAAAAATGCAAAAGAGCACACGCATCAAGGATCCAAACCCTCATCTACGTGTTCGTGGAACCTATGACGTATCCACTCGGCCACGCTGCTTTGAGCGAGGTCGCCATACGTCACTGATTCGTAATGAATGCCTGTATTCTCCTCCAAAAAGGCCCCGTAGCTTTGCTCCGGGAGGTCCGCAGTAGATACGGAAGCAGGTTTCCAATCCCCGTTCAAAGGCCCTTTCCGTCGGTATACATCTCATAAATGGCCACTTCGACCTACCATCCTCCCCTTGTAAGATGATTCCGCTGCGGATTCCCCATCTTGTGAAAAGCCTTGTTCAGGACCTCAACAAAGGGTATCGTATCTGGATCGAGAAGAGAGGTGACAGTCACTTGGTGCATACATCGGATGTGCGAGTTTTAGCTAAGAATTTCATATTTTTGTGATTCGCTATCTTATGACCGCCGTATATACCTGGCTGACCGCACCCGTTTTGACGAGAAGTGGGCGAGGGCGAGAAAGAGTCAGACTGGGTGCGCTAAAAATTCGTTCGTCAGGTGGTGCTGTATCCATGGGCCATGCAATGGGCTTTTTAGTGGAGAAGATGTGGGTGCTGAGAAGTCTAGCCTTCTTTCGTCCGGATAGTGGGCTTGGGTATACAGCCACGCGTTCTTTCAGGAGCAAGTCGTTGACTAACGACTTCTCTTTTGTTATGAGAAAGAATATTTTGCTGGTACGTGTTTGCACGTGTTTTCGTTATCGTTAGATGGCTACTGCACTAAACCTCGTGGATCTAGTAACGACGTAAGAAATAGCATTCCAGGGGCATGGATTTAGGTTGCTCCCAGTGAATGACCTGACCTTAAACGCTACTTGGATAAAGTATCGCCTATATAACTAGTAGTGTCTGTTAATAGACTTTATTTTGTTGAAGATTATTTCTTATATGCTTATATCCCATATCCTATTAATTTAAAAATCTGGAAACGTCCCGAAGCTTCGTATTTGTGGAATAGTACAGGGTTGACAAAACGGCAATGGTTTCGTCTGAAGGTAGCGGCACAAATTACTCTATAGTCTGCGGTTGGAGTATTTTTTTAATCGTTTTTCTTTCTCTTTCTTTACACCATTCTAAACGACCATCACAAGCGGAAACGTCGGTAAACGTATAATTTTACTTCTTCTCCAGCACGTTTGTCTTCGCGATCGCCGTTTCTTTAGTGCGTGATTTCCCCAGTTTGCGTGAGTAATAACCCACGTTAATGGCTTCTGAAAGGCTGTACGAAATATTCCGGGGAGCAGTTCGCCCGACAGAGTGGGATGAGGGAGTAAAGGGTAGAATTTCTGCCGCCTCTGCAGTTCCCGAAGTCTACTCTCTGTCTTCCGCTCTCTCTCTCTTCTCTCTCTCTTCTCTCTCTCTCTCTCTCTCTCTCTCTCTCTCTCTCTCTCTCTCTCTCTCTGGTGAAGGCTGTAAACTCTTGTGTAGCTGGAGCAAGCTCGTCGATGTGGTAGGTGGTATTCGTATATTATTGCATTGCTATACAAGAGTTGACAGGTGGGTTCTGCAAACTTTCGCTGGTATCATTTGTGGCTACAAGATTTCACAGGTCTCCACTTGACTCGACACGTCAATGTGATGTGGCAAAAGTGCATTCCTCCCCCCTTGTCGCCAAACTGCGCTGTTTCTCTGCTTTGATTATCTAATATTTACTGTGCTCATCGTTTGGTCCTCTTTTGTGCTCGCACAGATTCGTGCCGATCTTCGCAGTCTTTTTCTTGATATCGTAGCCATTATCATGATTTCAGGAATGGCAGGGATCGCTGCAGGGCGTTTGGCTGAGGAGCGAAAAGCATGGCGGAAGGACCATCCATTTGGATTCATAGCTAAGCCTGTAAAAAACCCCGATGGTACCTTAAATCTCTTCAATTGGGAATGTGCTATACCAGGCAAAAAGGACACGATCTGGGAAGGAGGGTTATATAAGGTATCTATATTATGATTCACTATTTCTGTTTTTCATTGCAGTTTACTGGTATTGCGAAGGGGTAGTGGATAGTGACGCAGCATAGGCTGTGCTCATACTTTGCGGCAGCGTTTTGGGCGGCATGACGCTTAAGATGCTGCCGCACGCTGACAAACGCTCAAAACGCTGACGCAGGGTATGAACTACCGCGAGCACCCCTATCACTGGCACGGTTTGGGGGTCAAATTCCGAATCGTCTTCCGTACGGACCAGTCCATCTTTCTTTTCTTCAGTGACATAAATTGGTATCAGACTTGTTCGGTATCAATTATAGACGAGAAAGCTTGAGTCATAAGGATGGGATATGGTTTCGATAAAAATCACATAAGTACAAAATAAAATCAGCATTTTGATGTGAAGCTCGCCTTTTCACTGCGCGCACTCTTTTTTCTGGTTTTCACTAATGCCACAGTGTGGGTTCTGCATTGTTTCCACCGTAGCTGCAGAAACTGTTTTTTTGACAGGCCGGAAATTTGACTGAAAATCGAAAGAATTTTCATGAAATCTAAGAGGCATTTCCATTTTCACCCTTTACCAAAATCTACTCGAAGTCTTTGCTGAAGCAGTGGTGTTTCGAGAATATTTAGCGTAGAGAAGTATTTTTTTTGATAATTTTCGCTGAAACACTCGTTCAGATTCTTGATTTTGTTTTAAGTATTGATGTCTCTCTTCAACGCACGAATGCAAGTTCGAGCTCCATTGTTCCATCCAAATGTTTATCCATCAGGTATAGTGCATTCTTTTTATTATGGAATTCTAAAAAGCCCGATATATATGGCTGTTTTGCTCATCCCGTAATCATTCTGTTGTTGTGGAAAATTTGGGAAATTATTGCACGGAAAGGAACGTAAAGGTGGGGTCTATGGTTAACATGGACCTAGTACGACCCAAATCTAATCCTATTGGTCCGACTAATGCGGTTTACCATTCCGGTAGTTTAGACGAAAATTAAACTAGTTTGTCATGCAGTTTAGCCGGTGGCCCGCTCCTGGCGAGGCACAAAAGCAAGGGCAGCGCTCATTCGTCGCTGTGCTTTATTTCGCAGGCACGGCACATACGCCTCCTGCTCCCTCGCAAGTCACGTTTAGACCTTCACGCAACTCGCACGTACGCTTAACCTTGTATGGAGGTGCTCTTAATACCTGAGCGCCCTTTGGTGCAGTCTGGAGTTCATGCGCACTACGGTTGTAACGTGACGATGGTGCCCTTCTTGCATAGAGATTTACCAGCAATTACGTCCCGCATCAGCGCAACAGCTGTTTACCTTTTAGAATAATGCTCCGTTCTTTCGCTGCAGGCGAAAGGGCGTGTCAGGCAGTATGAAACTCCACGCACCAACGTTCTTGCCAGTTTTTGAAACGGTATTGCGACATATTGTTAGAAGAACGACGTTGATAAGATTAACATGGAATGACGGTACTTTGTTGCTGCGATTAGAACTGGTGGTGAATGGGTTCGCGGCCTCGACCACCAAATCTCATCCACCTGGCCGCGCCCTTCGTCATGGCGAAGTAGCTGCATTCAGCTGTGAAGCATTGTATAGCAACGATAATATTTTGCGCTGCGTGAACGAAGCATTCTTTGATACTAGTATTTTTGCCTTCCTAACCCCTGTTGATTCATGCCTGTCCTGGTCGTCCAGAGTTCAAGAGAGGCAGGAGGTATACTTACAATAAGAACCTTCAAGAGCGAGCGAACCAGCCTTCTCGTGAAACTACTTTGGACACGCTCAAGTTTCTATCGCAGAACGGTTTTGGACATAGAGAAATAATAAGTGCAATATTCCAGCGGCAGACATAGGTACTTATCGGTCGGTTAAGAAACGGGGAACCTCAGTGCCAAAGGGACTGGAAAAAAGGTAAAGTCTGTGTTTCGCTCTATTAGTAGTGTTCGTCTCACGTGCTCATCGAAAGAAAGACTTTTGGATATGAAGCCGAGAATCTTCTCACGGATAAGAGTTTTTTTCAAAGACATTATGCCGGAATCGAGGTAGCATGATGAGGGATTATTATGGCGAGGTGACGAATTTTCGATTGCGCGGTGAAATGAGGAAGTTTCCGATAGAAGACCAATTATACTGTATCTAGCGCTATTGTATTGAACAATAGTTCAAAACTCTTTTCGAGGAATACTCGAAGATTTCGATGTCATCTGCACATCATGCTGCTGATGCCAAGATTCCTGTACGGGACCAAATAATTCATAAGTAATATGACAGTTTTGGAGATAAACCCTCTTGATGAACATACTAGTGCGCTTTCCTGACAGACTCGCTCTAGTAACTCTGAATGTGGCTCGAGTTAAGGAAGCTTGATCAAAGTAAAATAATCCTAGGATGTATCCAATGTGTTCAACTTGTGGAGAAATAATGGGACACCTTATCAAAAGCCTTATGAAAGTCCAAATAAACAAACATCATAGTTTTGCCCAGAATCTAAAGCGCGGATCTTCAGAAGTAGATGTTTTTAGAAGTGATGAAATTCTCTAGATGGGGTATTTTCTGGCTCTGGATAACCCCACTAGAAGCCTACGTTTTTTTGCTAATCGTAGCATTCTCAGGCACGTTTTGTTATCACTTTTGGATGAGATAAGGATGGAAACCGTCACGATTAAGCAGCTCCTTATTGGAATACAGGATCTCTTGAACAATCCAAACCCTGACGACCCTGCCCAAGCAGAAGCCTATCAAATTTTTTGTCAAAACAGGTACAAGTTTTGTTCTGTACTACAGCGGTAGTACTAAGTATGTGGACTCCGAGAATCGGGGAGAACTCTCAATTAGAGAGAATGTGCCCAGTGTTACATAGAACCTACGGCTGCGTTCATAGTTTCATCGGTGTTTTGAGTGCTTTGAGCGTTCTGGGCGAAAAAAAAAAAAAAAAAAAAAAAAAAAAAAAAAAAAAAAAAAAAAAAAAAAAAAAAAAAAAAAAAAAAAAAAAAAAAAAAAAAAAAAAAAAAAAAAAAAAAAAAAAAAAAAAAAAAAAAAAAAAAAAAAAAAAAAAAAAAAAAAAAAAAAAAAAAAAAAAAAAAAAAAAAAAAAAAAAAAAAAAAAAAAAAAAAAAAAAAAAAAAAAAAAAAAAAAAAAAAAAAAAAAAAAAAAAAAAAAAAAAAAAAAAAAAAAAAAAAAAAAAAAAAAAAAAAAAAAAAAAAAAAAAAAAAAAAAAAAAAAAAAAAAAAAAAAAAAAAAAAAAAAAAAAAAAAAAAAAAAAAAAAAAAAAAAAAAAAAAAAAAAAAAAAAAAAAAAAAAAAAAAAAAAAAAAAAGAGTATTTTAGGCATTAAAGCATATCGAGTGAAGTATGAACATTGACCTAGCATATGGAGCACTAAAAGTTTTTCGAGAGACATGCCGGCTTTTTGAGCGAAAGGGGTAAGTGTGTATGGATCTTGGAAGCTTGCAATGCTTAAGATGAGTCCTGTGGTTTATTTTTCCGTCTGGAACGTTGTGCGCGTAACGGCGAGAAAGTAATGAACAAGAGCCTATGCGAATTGCCGGATTCTGCACATTTTTTTGATTTGGATTGTGTCAGATATATATACTTTCCCGGCGCATTCTCAGAATTCGCAAATTCTTCCCATTCACTGGATGCAAAACCTAGCTGAACTAGGTCCTTTCCGATAGCATGTTTTTTCAGGCGCGAATATGAGAAGCGAGTTGCCGGGCAACTAGTTCAACGCAGATTGTCGTTTAAAAAGCAGATGTTTCCGGATAGCGTCCGAGTTCATTATTTATTTTAAATTCGTTTTTTGTGTTTTTGAAAGCTGGTGTCCTTAGTGACTGGAACGACTCATTCTTCCATGTTATTCATTATACCCTTATGCATTTGAGCTTGACGAGTGAATCATTTGCTGATTTAGTTTGAGTGTCTGTTTGCGTACAAGAATTTTTATGTAACTCTCATTCTGAAACTGTGACTTAACGTGTCTTGTTTGAATTGATACTGTTGTTTTTGAAATGAATAAAAGAACTAATCACTGTTGGTATTTTTGACTACTTAAAGTGTTCAAGCATTGTGAAAACATATCTTGGAGCATTTTCTATACTTTATTCCAATGAAGACGGAATTTTGCTTGCATCTCTGGAATATTTTGAGATAATTTCCTGAGCTGGGTTTTTGCCACAATTCTGGCGTCGGTAGTTGGGACTCATCCGCGGGGATCTTATTTGGTCGCTATGAGGGTCAGTTTGACCTTTGGAAAATATTCTTCGTGCTGACGTATACATATGGTAGTCATTATACTTGCCCTCCCCCTCCCTTCTCTCTTCCCGTTCCTCGACGGTGCTATATATTTGGATCAAAATTTCGGGAAAGCTTCTGGAAGACTGGTGGAAGATGTAGAATTCAGGAAAATAGCAGGTATGGGGCTCAAGGGACGGAATGCTGTATTGCACAGCATTCAGTGTGATATCATCTAACCACAATGGACCCGTAAAGGCATCAGGCTACTTAGATTTCAAGCTATTGATTTTCCAAGGATTCTCATAAATAATTATTAGTATGGGGTTATTCGAAGATGGGATTATAGGCTATGTTTCCAGCCTTTCAAGCATTAAACGCCACCGCAATGGGGCGGCAGATCATGCAGATGTTCAAGGAACAAAAGGGATGTGGATTAAGTCAACGATGTGCACAGAAACTATAGAGGGCATAATAGACCGGAAGAGGGCATTCAAAGGTCTCTTGCAATACTGGGATAGGCTTCATCCATATAGAATTAGTTCGCTTACCTCGCAGCTCCTACACCCATGAAGGCCTCCGGGGAGGGGCGGCCACCCGGGCAGCGACCCGCGCGAACCTGACAGACACTAGCCCCCGTGGCCACACTAAAGTACTCTAAAGCAGAATTAAATGGTCCACGTGGTCCCGGGTCCCGTTGTGTGCATTCACGGCCAATACAATTAATCTCACGCGCAATTTTCGGGGGTACTGTACGCAGCCTGACAACCTGAACTTATAATTAAATCACTAATTTGGTATATGCTCCAGAATGGTAGCGGAGGTGCTACATAGTGGGGAAAGTGGGGGAAATGCGAAGCGAAACCGTCGTAAACCTGCAAAAAAGCCTTTGTTCCACACGACTCAGAAAGCAATTTCGGACGAGTTTCCCGTTGGCATCGTGCCAATAACCGCTACGGTAGATACGGCTGCATGTATGTACTCATATATCCATGCAGCACTGCAGCCGCTTCATATCAATCCCTTCGCTTCATATTATACTTCCCAAATAGGTGCGGGGGGCGCCTAAAGGTACTTAACGAAGCCTATACAGGCAACCTTGTGAAGACCTGTAAATTCTTACGAACGAATCCTTGGGTCCCTTTTACTGTTTTGCACCTTTCACAAGTTTTTAACAGGCGTCACCAGAATGAGACCCGTTACTAAAAATGAGCCAGAAAGAAAAACGAGCGAGTGTGCAAAATGCTGAAAAGACCCGAAATTTTTACCATATCCTACTGAATTGCCTGTTCCAGATTGCACTGAGCGTGTCTGTCTCCTAGTTATGACTGTGTCATACAATCATCGCCGATCTGCACGTCGTATTGAGGAAGCAAAACGAAAAGCAAGGCCAGGTATGCAAGTGTTGGTTTGTTATTTGAATGTTAGAGTTCTCTTGTTTAAGAGTTGAATAACTATGGGTGGGACACTCTTGGCCTTGCTCAGAAATTTGCGCTTCCTGATTTTAAGGACAATATTTTGAGGTGAGGATTAACCATTGACATTTTTTCTTTTTTTTGGGAATTGTATTTTCATTTTAGGGTGGATGCCACGAAGTTGTCGCTCAATGAGTTTCGCGAGAAATACGAAATCCCTCGCATTCCTGTAATACTGACCGGTCTTACCGATAAATGGCAGGCTCATGAAAAATGGACGGTTTCGGTAAGTTTCAAT